CGGGGTAACCACAGCGCCCCGGGGTAACCACAGCACCCCGGGGTAACCACAGCGCCCCGGGGTAACCACAGCGCCCCGGGGTAACCACAGCTCACCGGGGTAACCACAGCACTCCGGGGTAACCACAGCGCCCCGGGGTAACCACAGCACCCCGGGGTAACCACAGCGCCCCGGGGTAACCACAGCGCTCCGGGGTAACCACAGCGCCCCGGGGTAACCACAGCTCCCCGGGGTAACCACAGCGCTCCGGGGTAACCACAGCTCCTCGGGGTAACCACAGCACTCCGGGGTAACCACAGCGCCCCGGGGTAACCACAGCGCCCCGGGGTAACCACAGCACCCCGGGGTAACCACAGCACCCCGGGGTAACCACAGCGCCCCGGAGTAACCACAGCGCCCCGGGGTAACCACAGCGCCCCGGAGTAACCACAGCGCCCCGGGAAACCACAGCACCCCGGGGTAACCACAGCGCTCCGGGGTAACCACAGCTCCCCGGGGTAACCACAGCGCCCCGGGGTAACCACAGCTCCCCGGGGTAACCACAGCGCCCCGGGGTAACCACAGCTCCCTGGGGTAACCACAGCGCCCCGGGGTAACCACAGCGCCCCGGGGTAACCACAGCGCCCAGGGGTAACCACAGCGCTCCGGGGTAACCACAGCGCCCCGGGGTAACCACAGCGCCCCGGGGTAACCACAGCGCTCCGGGGTAACCACAGCTCCCCGGGGTAACCACAGCGCCCCGGGGTAACCACAGCGCCCCGGCTCTCGCACGATGTCCGTGATGCAGTCATTTCGAGTCTGTTGATGGTCAGCGATGTGCCAATCGACTCATCTCGACGAGCTGTACACGATGCACCACCACGTGCGTATGCGAGTCGTCAGGGTTTCGGCGCAATCGTCGTCCTCGCTCGCTGCGTTTACACATCGCGGAGTGTGGCAACGATTTCGGATTGATTTGGTACCCCAGGAGTGAAGTACACCCCTGGGAAAACAAAATAGTGTCCCAGAAATAAAATATTTAATTGCCTCGGTTCCATCATGAGGACCAATTGCCTCTGGCAGGAAATCATCGACGCACCGATGACTGGAGGTCGACGTTTGAACAAAAACGTTCCACTTCTGTTCGGTGTCGCGTGGAATACAGACGGACAAGGCAAAGACCCCCCGTGTAGCCTTAACAGACTGTAGGGGCAAGTGCTGTTAGCGAGCAGGACTTGTGAAGGCTACCGGCACTGTGGCACATGAGGGGGTGGGTGGCCAGCACCACGCCCGACCGCCTTTGTCTCCCCCAGTGGCGATGTTCACTACACACCGCACCAGGTACTCATTTGAGGCTGAGTTGACCTAGGGCGAGGCCCAGGACCGGTTTAGATAATCGTCACTGGGTGATGTTGTTGGCCTTGAGCGGGAATCGAACTGGGGTCGCCCTTGGGTTCGTAGCGCAACGTAGCGCTAACCACTGCGCCACCGCTCGTCACTCACACACGCGCGCGCACACCAACAACAACAACCAACAACAACCAACAACAACAACAAACATCAACAGAAGCCGGCGACATTCGCCACTAAGTGGCGGTGACTTCACCACGGCGCTTGTGCCAGGCTAGGTGCACGCGGAGGTCCACGGGACACGCAGCACACACACAATGGTGGTGGTGGTGCTGGTGGTGCTGGTGGTGGTGTTGTTATCATCTGACATCGAAAAGCGCATTTCTTGACGGTTGTTGTTGTTTGTTTGTTGTTGTCCATCGCCACCTCCTCCCCCCTACCCACAACCCCACCCTACACACATCCGATTAGCCATGGCCGGCTACGTGCTGGTGGATTAGAAGACGCGAGCGATGCAGAGATATCATTATTACTACAATGATGTAGTGACATCGTTGGATGTCAACATGCTGTGGGTGTAGTACCGGGCCTAGAGGGGCCCGGTGAGCGCTGAACGACAACGCCGGATGTCACCACGCTTTGCGTGCAGTGCCAGCCCTACAGGACAGGGCTTGCGTGGGTGCCGGCCGAAGGATGAGGTCACTCGAGGCCGTGGCACTCTGGTTGACACGTGACCACCCCTAGAGGGGGCTAGGGGTGTTCACGTGATTTGGACCCAGATCCTTCCAGAGGATTCTGGGAGGTGGGCGTGGCTAAGGGCGGAGTCAGGTCACGCCGCAGAGAATCTCAGCCGGGTCCCGAGAGGGACCGGGGTTGTTGTTGTTCATCTACATTCTCCATTCAACGAGTCTCCAACACGTGGACCCGGGACAAAGCTGTTGGTCCCGGTCCGTAGAAGCAGTTACGTTGTAACTAGTGTAGTTAGCCTGGTGGTAACCACCATAGGTTGTTATTCTGTTAAGGGGAAGTTACCCCGTGTGTTGGAACTGCAGAAATGTGTTGCCTCCAAGTCTACGCCTGCAACTCAGTTGAACCCATGACAATAAGACGTGGGTCCTCAAGCACACCGAACACTCGGTGGGGGCTGAGGCTCTGCATGGCTCGCCGGTCGCGTTTCGGGGAGGCCCACGTTCATTGCGAGCCGACGAGTGTTTTCACTAAAGGTGTGATAAAAATAACAATAGTTACTATCAGCACAGATTCGTTCATGAAGTCATCCAAATGTATAAACACAGACACAATTTCAACCGAGAAGAAGATGGGTACAAACTGAGCAATCATTGGAAGGACGTTAGTAACCAGTTTAGGTCATAACTGGCTGTGATGTTCCTATCCTACCTACCTATGTTAGCGGTTATGTTGGACTCTCTGAGTTACATTTGTAGTGACTGTGTATGTCACTGTGTGGTGCCGGGCTTACGAAGCCACGGCAGACAATGTGTCGGCATTACGTGTATCCCGCTTACTTGGCGTAGTACCAGCCCTAGCGGGGCCTGGGTGAGCGCTGGTCAGTGCGGAGGCACCGCGAGCAGTGTGCGGTGCGGGCTCCCGGTGAGGGAGCGACAGGGAGTGTCAGCCAGCCAGGGTTACGTTGGGGCACGATACGCTGGTTGACCTGCTGTCACATGACCGGATGATATTGGAGGGGGGGTACTGGTGGAGGGGGGCCGCTGGGTGGTCACGTGGTATCAAAGAGCTCTCGGGAGCCTGCGGGAAAGAGCTCGAAGGATCTAGAAGGTGGGCGGGGCGAGGGGTGGAGCCAGTCCCAGCCCAGGCCGATATAACGGGGCCCCGTGAGGGGCTCGGGGTTCTTCGTGTTGCTGGTGATGAAGATACACGTCGGGTAAAAGAAGCCTCTAGTCACGCGGTCCGGGACCCAGCTTGTGGTCCGGGCCGGGATAGCGAACCGTGTCTAGTTCTGCCTTAGCGTGGGCTAGATGGGCATTCAACACCAAAGTGTAGGTTGTGTTGTGTTGAGTTGAGTTGGTAATATAAAGAGTGTTGCTCCCAAGACGTCTGCGACTCAGTCGGACTCACTACACATTCACTAGCACAGCCGACCTTTAGGTGTGTTGGATTAATGGCGGCTTGCCACTGCGTCGTAGCCGAGCTTGGCTTTCACCGAGCTTACATTTACAGGCAAACTTCTCTCTCCTACTCGCTCTCTCCTACTCGCTCCTACATTAACATCAGCTGCCCCGCTCATCTCTAAACCTTTATAAACAGCCTGCCTCAGCAGATCTCCCCTCTTTTTCACCTGAAGACGATTGCTTGTGTTGCGATCGAAACGTCGTGATTTTGATTTTGGTTATTTTTTCTATCTGCGTGGCTTAACAGAAAGACCCAAAGAATACAATTATTGTTATTATAATAATATAATCAATTTCAATTGAAAGCTTTCGTGACTGCAGGGATTCATCTTCTTGGTTCTTTCGGTAAAGTCACGTAGAAGGGAAAAATTTTTTAAATAAAAATATTACGTTTTTTTTATAATTTCCCTTCTACGTGACTTTACCGAAAGAACCAAGAAGAACAATATAATAACAGTTATTATAATAACAATAGTTTGTATTATAATAACCACGTGGTTGTTGTTGCAGCTGTTTCGTAAGCGACGTCGTCCCACGTCACCGTGCGGCTGTTTTGCTCTCGTGGCGGCGTCTCGAACAGCGGTGTAGCACAACCCAACAACACAACCCAACACAACCCAACACAACATAACACAACCCAACACAACAACCCAACACAACCCAACACAACAACCCAACACAACACAACCCAACACAACACAACCCAGCACAACCCAACACAACCCAACACAACAACACAACCCTCACACCCGCCATTGTTCACCAGACGAAGCCCCTACGTGTACAATGACACTTCACGCAGTTTCTAAACAGAACAAAAATCACGCCACGTACCCCCCCCCCCCCCACCCCGGTTCAGAGCAGCCGCGCAGAATAATCGATGGTCCCGTGTGAATAATCGATAATCGATTAGTCGAGCGGCCTGCAATCGATTTCACCCGCCCCCCAGCCCCTTTGTTAACCTCCCTTCTCCACGTGTCACGTGTCTGCCCCCCCCACAAACCTCCCTCCCCCCCCCACAAACGTCCCCCTGGCCCTCCCCACAAACCACCCCCCCCCCCCCCACAAACCTCCCAATCGCCTCCCCCCACAAACCTCCCATCCCCCACACACCTCCCCCCCCACAAACCTCCCCTTCCACAAACCTCCCCCTCGCCCCTCCCCCCCCATCAAACTTGCTTCCATCTGGAACCTCTCCACGCGCCGCCGCCGCCGTTCCTATGGCCGGGGTCCTCCCCCTCCTCCCCCCCTCCTCCCCCCCACCCTGCGCGTCACAGCAGCCCTGCCGCGTCACAGCAGCCGTGCGCGTCACAGCAGCCCACCGCGTCACAGCAGCCGTGCGCGTCACAGCCGTACCGCGTCACAGCAGCCGTGCGCGTCACAGCAGCCGTGCGCGTCACAGCAGCCCTGCCGCGTCACAGCAGCCGTGCGCGTCACAGCAGCCCACCGCGTCACAGCAGCCGTGCGCGTCACAGCCGTACCGCGTCCGAGCAGCCGTGCGCGTCACAGCAGCCCTGCGCGTCACAGCCCCAGGGCGGCCGCGTGCCTCCTCGCCTTGAGCCGCAGGTCCGCGATGCTCGACGTCTTCGTCTTGGCAGCAGCAGCAGCAGCAGCTGCAGCTGCAACAATCGACGAGGTGGACGAGGAGGCGGCGGCGATGGACGAGGAGGTTGAATCGGAGCGGTGGGGTGCAAGGAGGAGCCCCCCATCACCGGGCCCCCCGATCCTCGCTGGACCCGGGGCATCCCCTTGATCGATCGGCGGTGCTCCCAGAGTCGGGAGGTGCACGTGGGGGTGGTGGTGGTGGTGGTGGTGGTGTGGTGGTGATGTGTGGTGCGTTTGGCTCTCCTCTTCATGTTGTTGTTGTTGGTGGTGGTGTTGTTGGTGGTGGTGGTGTTGTTGTTGTGGGTGGTGGTGGTGGTGATGGAGGTGAGGGTGGGAGTGAGGAGGAGGTGGTGGTGGAGGAGGTGGAGGGAAGAGGACGTATGGAGGATGAGCGGCTTGCAGAGTCGCATGCGGGGAGATCCCTTCCATTTGGACCTACGAAATGACACCATCAGCATAATCAGCAACATCATCAGAAACATTATCAGCAACATCATAAGCAACATCATCAGCAACATCAGTCACATCAGCAGCAGTAGCAGCAGCTTCATCATAATCACAAATATCATCACGATTGGAACCTCATTTGCCAGTAGAAAAATATGATAATTGGTTTTTTACCCTTTTATCTGGCAACAAAACTGGAGTCATGTTTGCATAGACCACAATACCTGCAGTCGTAATGCAAACAAAAAACATAACTCTGATAATGTAGGTATTGTGGTCTATGCAAACATGACTCCTTGTAAAAAAAGGTGTCAGTTTTGTTGCCAGATGAAAGGGTAAAAAAACAATTATCACAAATATCATCATCAGGAGTTGCTGCTGCAACAGCCTTATTAAATATAATCAACATCATCATCAGCAGCAGCATCATCCATCAGCAGCATCATCATCATCAGTAGCAGGGAAATCAGCAGCAGTAGTAGCATCATAATAATCATCATCAGCAGCAGGATAGTCATCACCAATATCACTGCTGCTGCAACATCCTTGTTAAATATAATCATCATCATCAGCAGCAGAAGCTTAATCATAATCGTCATCAGCAAAGAGCGGCAGGATAGTCACGGCAAATATCATCATCATCATCAGCAGCAGCAGCAGCAACACCTGCTGTTGCAAGATTCTCATTAAAAAAAAATCATCATCAGCTTCATGATGATGATCTGTTGTGGGGTTTAGGGCATCAGAGATGAGGGGTCGAGGGGGGGGGGGGGGGCAGTGGTGAAGGGGGGGGGGGGATCAGAGACTTTCGGGGGAGCAGGGGGCTCAATGGAATCGGGGGTCCAGGACTTTATGGGGATCAGGAGGGATCAAGGGGGAGGGGAGGGAGGGGGGTTCAGTGGACTAGGAGGGATCAAGGGGGTGAGGAAGGGGGCAGGGAGGGGAGTTCAGAACTTTAGGGGGATCAGGAGGGATCAAGGGGAGAGGGGGAGGGGCGTTCAGTGGTATCGGGGGTTCAGGACTTTAGGTGGATTAGGAGGGATCAAGGGGGGAGGAAGGGGGCAGGGAGGGGGGTTCAAGACTTTAGGGAGATCAGGAGGGATCAAGGGGAGGGGAGAAGGGGGGCTCAGTGGTATCGCGGGTTCAGAACTTTAAAGGGATCAGGAGGGATCAAGGGGGTGAGGAAGGGGGCAGGGAGGGGGGTTCAGGACTTTAGGGGGATCAGGAGGGGTCAAGGGGGAGGAGAGGAGGGGGGTTCAGTGGTATCGGGGGTTTAGGACTTTCAAGGGATGAGGAGGGGTCAAGGGGGGAGGGAGGGAGGGAGGGAGAGGGGGTCCGGGGTGCCCACCTGCTGGAAGGGGAGGCGCAGGGAGTTGATGCTGAGGTAGGGGGCCACGTGACACGCGTCCAGGTGCGAGCTCGCGCTGAAGAACACACCTGGCGGAGGGGGCGCGGCCAATCAGGAGGCAGCATTCGTGAGCCGATAACGCAAATGAGTCGGCCAATCAGGAGGCAGCATTCGTGAGCCGATAACGCAAATGAGTCGGCCAATCAGGAGGCAGCATTCGTGAGCCGATACGCAAATGAGTCGGCCAATCAGGAGGCAGCATTCGTGAGCCGATACGCAAATGAGTCGGCCAATCAGGAGGCAGCATTCGTGAGCCGATAACGCAAATGAGTCGACCAATCAGGAGGCAGCATTCGTGAGCCGATAACGCAAATGAGTCGGCCAATCAGGAGGCAGCATTCGTGAGCCGATACGCAAATGAGTCGGCCAATCAGGAGGCAGCATTCGTGAGCCGATACGCAAATGAGTCGGCCAATCAGGAGGCAGCATTCGTGAGCCGATAACGCAAATGAGTCGGCCAATCAGGAGGCAGCATTCGTGAGCCGATAACGCAAATGAGTCGGCCAATTAGCGGGTCGGCCAATTAGCGGGTCGGCCAATTAGCGAGCCGGCCAATTAGCGAGCCGAAAATTAGCGGGGCCGATCAGTCGGCGTGTGAGTGCCTTAGCGGTGAGCCAATCGGTCAAAGATTTGATCGACGGGTTCGAATCGCTGAGCGCGCTGTCTAGGAGATGTTGACTACTGCGCCTGGTATCCAGGTGGTCGTGGGTTCGATCTTGACCCCGACGATGCCTGCTGCTGTATATTTGGAGTGAGTGGGTGAGTTGGTGAGTTGGTGAACTGGAGAGTTGGTGAATGAATGGGTGAGTAGGTGAGCTGGTGAGTGAGTTGATGAGTTGGTGAGTAAGAAGTTGGTGAGTGAGTAGGTGAATTGGTGAGTTAGTGAGTGAGTAGGTGAGTGAGTTCATGTTTTTCTGAGTAGGTAAGTTGGTGAGTGAGTAGTTGAATTGGTGATAATGCGAATTGGTGAGTGAGTAGGTGAGTTCATGAGTTGGTAAGTTGTTGAGTTGGTGAGCGAGTAGATGAATTAGTGAGTAGGCGAGTTTATGAGTGAGTAGGTAAGTTGATGAGTAAGTAGGTGAGTTTACGAGTAGGTGAGTTGGTGAGTTGGTGAGTGAGTTGATGAGTTGGTGAGTAGGTGAGTTGGTGAGTGAGTTGGTGAGTTGGTGAGTTGGTGAGTGAGAAGGTGAATTTGTGAGTAGGTGAGTTGATGAGTGAGTAGGTGAGTTTACGAGTGAGTAGGTGAATTGGTGAGTTGATGAGTTGGTGAGTAGGTGAGTTGGTGAGTGAGTAGGTGAGTTTGTGAGTTAGTGAGTGAGAAGGTGAATTTGTGAGTAGGTGAGTTGATGAGTGAGTAGGTGAGTTGATGAGCGAGTAGCTAAATTGGTGAGTGAGTTGATGGGTTGGTGAGTAGGTGAGTTGGTGAGTGAGTAGGTGAGTTGGTGAGTTGGTGAGTGAGAAAGTGAATTTGTGAGTAGGTGATTTGACGAGTGAGTAGGTGAGTTGATGAGTGAGTAGGTGAATTGGTGAGTTGGTGAGTGAGTAGGTGAGTTGGTGAGTGAGTTGGTCAATTAATGAGTAGGCGAGTTGGTGAGTAGGTGAGTTGGTGAGTGAGTTGATGAGTTGTGAGTGAGTAGGTGCATTGGTGAGAAGGTGAGTTGGTGAGTGAGTAGGTGAGTTGGTGAGTGAGTTCATGAGTTGGTGAGTGAGTAGGTGAGTTGATGAGTTGGTGAGTAGTTAAGTTGGCGAATGAGTAGGTGAGTTGATGAGTGAGTAGGTGAGTTGATGAGTGAGTAAGTGAATTGGTGAGCTGGTGAGTGAGCAGGTGAGTAGGTGAGTGAGTTGGTAAATTAGTGAGTAGGCGAGTTGGTGAGTAGGTAAGTTGATGAGCGAGTGGTTGAGTTGGTGAGTAGTCGAGTTGTTGAGTGAGTAGGTGAATTGGTGAGTGAGGGAGCGGGCAATTTGTCCATTGACCCAGCTAGTTCTGTTGATTTTCCGCTTTGCATATAAGGGCGGCCACCATAGCGACCCACGCATGACACACGCCTTACAACTATACATTATAATGATTAATTATAGTTAATAATGAGCAATACATCGATTATTATCATGGTATTATTAATACAGCGAGATACGACCAAACCTGGTCCGTATGCCCAGTTGACTGTTCGGAATGAGATTCGTAAGTTCAACCGCCGCGCAATAGATGGCGGTAGTGGCATCTACATCTGCCGAATGTGAAGAACCAGTGGCATCTACATCTACAGAACATGAAGAACCAGTGGCATCTACATCTGCCGAATGTGAAGAACCAGTGGCATCTACATCTACAGAACATGAAGAACCAGTGGCATCTACATCTGCCGAATGTGAAGAACCAGTGGCATCTACATCTACAGAACATGAAGAACCAGTGGCATCTACATCTGCAGAAAGTGAAGAACCAGTGGCATCTACATCTGCCGAATGTGAAGAACCAGTGGCATCTACATCTACAAAACATGAAGAACCAGTGGCATCTACATCTGCAGAAAGTGAAGAACCAGTGGCATCTACATCTGCAGAACGTGAAGAACCAGTGGCATCTACATCTACAGAACATGAAGAACCAGTGGCATCTACATCTGCAGAAAGTGAAGAACCAGTGGCATCTACATATGCAGAACGTGAAGAACCAGTGGCATCGACATCTACAGAACGTGAAGAATCAGTGGCGTCTACTTCTGCAGAACATCAAGAACCAGTGGCCTCTACATCTACAAAACATAAAGAACTAGTAGCATTTACATCTACAGAACATGAAAAACCAGTGGCATCTACATCTGCAGAACGTGAAGAACCAGTGACATCTACATCTACAGAACATGAAGAACCAGTGACATCTACATCTACAGAATGTGAAGAACCGGTGACATCTACATCTGCAGAACAAACATGAAGAACCGGTGACATTTACATCTACAGAACATGAAGAACCAGTGGCATCTACATCTGCAGAACATGAAGAACCAGTGGCATCTACATCTGCAGAACATGAAGAACCAGTGGCATCTACATCTACAGAACATGAAGAACCAGTGACATCTACATCTACAGAACATCCCTGTCAACCCATACCGTTTACCCCATATTCTTGTACAGGGAAATTGAGTTTTCACGTCCAAACGGCATACAGCCGTTTCAATACGGGCACACAATGTTGTTGTTGTCTATGTGTTTGTGTTTCTCCATTGTGATGGAACTTTGTAGGATGAACGTTGACATGTATAAGGGGAACGGGGTGGCCATTAATGTCTGACTTGCCATGTAAAAACGTATGGCACTGATAAGGAGTTGTCAGGTATGTAGTAGTGTAGTGTATAGTGTATAATAGTGTAGTGTATAGTAGTGTATAGTATATAGTAGTGTAGTGTATAGTGTATTGTAGTATATAGTAGTGTATAGTGTATAGTAGTGTAGTGTATAGTAGTGTACAGTAGTGTAGTGTATAATGTATAGTAGTGTAGTGTATAGTAGTGTATAGTGTATAGTAGTGTAGTGTATATAGTAATGTAGTGTATAGTAGTGTATAGTGTAGTGTATAGTAGTGTATAGTAGTGTATAGTGTATAGTAGTGTAGTGTATAGTAGTGTATAGTGTATAGTAATGTATAGTAGTGTAGTGTATAGTAGTGTAGTGTATAGTAGTGTATAGTAGTGTAGTGTATAGTAGTGTAGTGTATAGTAGTGTAGTGTGTAGTGTATAGTAGTGTAGTGTATAATAGTGTAGTGTATAGTAGTGTAGTGTATAGTGTATAGTAGTGTAGTGTATAGTAGTGTAGTGTATAGTAGTGTAGTGTATAGTAGTGTAGTGTATAGCAGTGTAGTGTATAGTAGTGTAGTGTATAGTAGTGTAGTGTATAGTAGTGTAGTGTATAGTGTATAGTAGTGTAGTGTAAAGTAGTGTAGTGTATAGTGTATAGTAGTGTAGTGTATAGTAGTGTAGTGTATAGTAGTGTAGTGTATAGTAGTGTAGTGTATAGTATTGTAGTGTATAGTAGTGTAGTGTATAGTAGTGTAGTGTATAGTGTATAGTAGTGTAGTGTATAGTAGTGTAGTGTATAGTAGTGTAGTGTATAGTAGTGTAGTGTATAGTTGCGTAGTGTATAGTAGTGTAGTGTATAGTAGTGTAGTGTATAGTAGTGTAGTGTATAGTAGTGTAGTGTATAGTGTATAGTAGTGTAGTGTATAGTAGTGTAGTGTATAGTAGTGTATAGCAGTACCACGCCAGCACACGATGGTGTGGTGTGTTGAGCTTCTTTCGCACCGTACGTAGCCAACCACGCTTATCAGAGGCGCGGGAATCATGGATGTCGTGGTGGGGTGTTGGTGGTTGTGTTAGTGGTGGTGGTGCCAGTGGTTTTCGTGGTGATTGTGGTGTGGTGGAGGTGAGATGCTGGTGGTCATAGTGGATGTAGTGACGGTGTGGTGTTGCTGGCATTGTGGTGGTGAATGCATGCATCTTGAACTTCTTTTGCACCGTACGTAGCCAGTCGTGCTCAGGACAACATACTAAACACGTGCACAAAGCAGTTTCTAAAGAAACTAATTTGTCAATCTTGATGATGATGACGATTTAAAAGTGCATCACAGCTCCCAGCGGCCTTGCTAACATCGGAAGGAAGAGAGCGTTCCAGACGGCCGCGAAAAACGCCGCGCGTTGCGGTGACCCTATGCGGAGCCTTCAAAAGAAAGCACATGAGAGGCGACGTTTCGGTCAATGGCCCTTCTTCACGGGACATGGAGAGGCCAGGGAGAGCGAGAGGCATGAAGGCGCTACCTCGGTGAAGTTGATTTTCTTGCTTCCGGCACTTGGCTCTCCTGTTCTGAAACCAAACCTGGCGAAAGATGATGATGATCATCATCAGCAGCAGCATCAGCAGAATCATCATCATGAACTGAATCATCATCAGCAGAATCACCATCAGCAGCATCATCAGAATCATCATCGTGAGCTGAATTACCTTCGCCATCATCAGAATCATAATAATTATATGAATTATAATCAGTATCATGATCACCATCATCATCAGCAGAATCCTCATCATGAGATTAATTCTCATTATCATCATCATCAGCAGCAGAATCATCATCATGAGATGAATAATCATCATCATCATCATAATCATAATAATTATATGAATTATAATCAGTATCATGATTCAGCAAAATCCTCATCATGAGATTAATTATCATCAGCAGCAGCAGAACTCATCATGAGCTGAATGATCATCATCATAATCAGAACCACAATCATCATGAGATTAATTATCATCCTCAACAAAATCATCATCATCATCATGAGCTGAATCATTATCGTCACATCAGCAGAATCATCATCATCATTATCAGAATCATCATTATCAGAATTATTATGATCACAATCATCACCATTGTCATCAGCAGAATCATCAGCAACAGCATAAAATCATCATCATCAGCAACAGCATCACGTTCATAATGATTCTGAACGATGCGATTTCCGAAGTATCTACGTGTGGTCAACTCGGATCGCGGCGAATGCGAGACCATCCCATCACCACTCCCACAACTACTAATACCACCATCCCATCACCACCCCCACCACGACTAATACCACCTTCCCATCACCACCCACACCACGACTACTACCACCTTCCCATCACCACCCACACCACGACTACTACCACCATCCCATCACCACCCACACTACGACTAATACCACCTTCCCATCACCACCCACATCACTACTAATATCACCATCCCATCACCACCCACACCACGACTAATACCACCTTCCCATCACCACCCACACCACGACTAATACCACCTTCCCATCACCACCCACATCACTACTAATATCACCATCCCATCACCATCCACACCACTACAAATATCACCATCCCATCACCACCCCCATCACTACTAATACCACCATCCCATCACCAACCACACCACTACTAATACCACCATCCCATCACCACCCCCACCACGACTAATATCACCATCCCATCACCACCCACACCACTACTAATACCACCTTCCCATCACCACCCACACCACGACTAATACCACCTTCCCATCACCACCCACACCACGACTAATACCACCTTCCCATCACCACCCACATCACGACTAATACCACCATCCCATCACCACCCACACCACGACTAATACCACCATCCCATCACCACCCACACCACTACTAATACCACCTTCCCATCACTACCCACATCACTACTAATATCACCATCCCATCACCACCCACATCACTACTAATATCACCTTCCCATCACCACCCACACCACGACTAATACCACCTTCCCATCACCACCCACACCACTACTAATACCACCTTCCCATCACTACCCACATCACTACTAATATCACCATCCCATCACCACCCACATCACTACTAATATCACCTTCACATCACCACCCACACCACGACTAATACCACCTTCCCATCATCACCCACACCACTACTAATACCACCTTCCCATCACTACCCACATCACTACTAATATCACCATCCCATCACCACCCACATCACTACTAATATCACCTTCCCATCACCACCCACACCACTACTAATACCACCTTCCCATCACCACCCCCACCACTGCTAATACCACCTTCCCATCACCACCCTCACCACTACTAACACCACCATCCCATCACCACCCACACCACTACTAACACCACCTTCCCATCACCACCCCCACCACGACTAATATCACCATCCCATCACCACCCCCACCACTACTAATACCACCTTCCCATCACCACCCACACCACTACTAATACCACCATCCCATCACCACCCACACCACGACTAATATCACCATCCCATCACCACCCACACCACGACTAATACCACCATCCCATCACCACCCACACCACGACTAATATCACCATCCCATCACCACCCACACCACGACTAATATCACCATCCCATCACCACCCACACCACTACAAATACCACCTTCCCATCACCACCCACACCACGACTAATATCACCATCCCATCACCACCCCCACCACTACTAATACCACCTTCCCATCACCACCCACACCACTACTAATACCACCATCCCATCACCACCCACACCACGACTAATATCACCATCCCATCACCACCCACACCACGACTAATACCACCATCCCATCACCACCCACACCACGACTAATATCACCATCCCATCACCACCCACACCACGACTAATATCACCATCCCATCACCACCCACACCACTACTAATACCACCTTCCCATCACCACCCACACCACGACTAATATCACCATCCCATCACCACCCACACCACTACTAACACCACCTTCCCATCACCACCCCCACCACGACTAATATCACCATCCCATCACCACCCCCACCACTACTAATACCACCTTCCCATCACCACCCACACCACTACGAATACCACCATCCCATCACCACCCACACCACGACTAATATCACCATCCCATCACCACCCACACCACGACTAATACCACCATCCCATCACCACCCACACCACGACTAATATCACCATCCCATCACCACCCACACCACGACTAATATCACCATCCCATCACCACCCACACCACTACTAATACCACCTTCCCATCACCACCCACACCACGACTAATATCACCATCCCATCACCACCCACACCACGACTAATATCACCATCCCATCACCACCCACACCACTACTAATATCACCATCCCATCACCACCCACCCCACGACTAATATCACCATCCCATCACCACCCACACCACGACTAATACCACCATCCCATCACCACCCACACCACGACTAATATCACCATCCCATCACCACCCACACCACGACTAATATCACCATCCCATCACCACCCACACCACTACTAATACCACCTTCCCATCACCACCCACACCACTACTAATACCACCATCCCATCACCACCCACACCACGACTAATACCACCATCCCATCACCACCCACACCACGACTAATATCACCATCCCATCACCACCCACACCACTACTAATACCACCTTCCCATCACCACCCACACCACTACTAATACCACCATCCCATCACCACCCACACCACGACTAATATCACCATCCCATCACCACCCACACCACGACTAATATCACCATCCCATCACCACCCACACCACGACTAATATCACCATCCCATCACCACCCACACCACGACTAATATCACCATCCCATCACCACCCACACCACGACTAATATCACCATCCCATCACCACCCACCCCACGACGAATATCACCATCCCATCACCACCCACACCACTACTAATACCACCATCCCATCACCACCCACACCACTACTAATATCACCATCCCATCACCACCCACACCACTACTAATACCACCATCCCATCACCACCCACACCACTACTAATACCACCATCCCATCACCACCCACACCACTACTAATATCACCATCCCATCACCACCCACACCACTACTAATATCACCATCCCATCACCACCCCCACCACGACTACTACCACCATCCCATTACCACCGCGCAGATCACTCTCATCAAGATCCCCTCCACCACCACCCCCCACTACCACCACCCACGACCACCAACCCCCTCTATCACCCCCCCCCACCGCCCACTTCCCCCCTCCACCCTCACCACCACCCCCCACTACCACCCCCCACTACCACCCCCACGCCCCACCCCCCACTACCACCCCCAACCCACATCACCATCACCACCCCCATCACCACCACCACCCTCCACCCCCACTACCACCCCCACCCTCATCACCACCAACACCCCCACCCCCCACTACCACCCCCCACCCTCACCACCCTCCACCCCCCACTACCACCCCCCACTACCACCCCCACCCTCATCACCACCCCCATCCCCACCACCACCCCCAACACCACCACACCCCCACCACCACCAACACCACCACCACCACCCCGCCCACCACCACCACCCCCCCCCACCACCACCAACCCCATCACCACCACCACCCCCACTACCATCACCACCACCACCCCCATCTCCACCACCACCCCCATCACCACCACCCCCACCACCCCCATCACCATCACCACCACCCCCCACCCCCACCACCACCCCCCCACCACCACCACCCCACCACCACCACCACCACCCCACCCCCCCCACCCCCCCACCTCCCCAGGTACCTGAACTCGTGCCTCGGAGAGTCCGAGCCTCTGGCTGAGCTCCTCCCGCATGAAGGCGTCGGGGTAGTGCGTCTCGTCGAAGAGGCCCTCGAGCTCGCCCAGCTGATCGGCGCTGAAGTTGGTGCGGCTGCGACGCTGCTTCTGGCGACGACGCGACAGCGACGACGACGACGACGACGTCGGGGAGGAGGGCGACGAGGGGGCTGGCGACGAGGGGGCCGAGGGGCCCCGGGGGGACGCGAGGTCTTGGGGGGGGCAGAGGGGGTACATCGACAAAGATCTTATCGGTGCCCTGTCTTGTTACAGAGCTATTCAGATGGTATTGGTCACCCGGTGGCCATTTTATACAACTCAACGTTCATACTACGAAGTCACTATAGGTTACACTATACACTACACTACTATACACTATACACTACACTACTATGTACTATACACTACTATGTACTATACACTATATACTACACTACTATACACTATACACTACATTATGTACTATACACTATTCACTACTATGTACTATACACTACACACTACTATACACTACACTACTATGTACTATACACTACTATGTACTATACACTATTCACTACACTACTATACACTACACTACTATACACTACTATACACTACACTACTATACACTATACACTACTATACAATACACTACTATACACTACACTACTATACACTACACTACTATACACTACACTACTATACACTACACTACTATACACTACACTATACACTACACTACTATACACTACACTACTATACACTACACTACTATACACTAATATGCACTATACACTACTATACACTACACTACTATACACTACTATACACTACTATGTACTATACACTACACTACTATACACTACACTATACACTACTATACACTATGCACTACACTACTATACACTATACACTACACTACTATACACTACTATACACTATACACTACACTACTATACACTACACTACTTTACACGACACTACTATACACTACTATACACTATACACTACACTACTATACACTACACTACTATACACTATACACTCACCACTACAAACCTGTCAACCCCTTATCAGTGCCCTACCTTATTACAGACCAGCTCAGATCTTATTCGTCACCCAGTGCCCAATATACATGTCAACGTTCATCCTACAAAGTCCTATTACAAGGGAGAAACACATAGACATTATTGATGTTGTTGTTATTGTGGCCCGTATTCAAACGGCTGTAGGTGGTATGGACCTGAAAACTCAATTTCCCTGTACAAAAATACAGGCTAATAAACCGTGTGGGTTTAGAGGTTTGCTACGATACACTCCACTACTATACACTACACTATACACTACACTATTATACACTACTATACACTACATATACTACAATATACACTACACTATACACTACTATACACTACACTATACACTACTATACACTACAATATACACTACTATACACTACACTATACACTACTATACACTTCCATGCCCCCTAATTTCTCACATTAACATCATGCTAATCTCTCACATTAACAAAGCCACTTCTATGTCCTGTAATTTCTCACATTAACATCATGCGAATCTCTCACATTAACAAAGCCACTTCTATGTCCTGTAATTTCTCACATTAAGATCATGGTAATCTCTCACATTAACAAAGCCACTTCTATGTCCTGTAATTTCTCACATTAACATCATGCTAATCTCTCACATTAACAAAGCCACTTCTATGTCCTGTAATTTCTCACATTAACATCATGCTAATCTCTCACATTAACATAGCCACTGCCGTGCCCTCTAACCCCTCACATTAACATCATGCTAATCTCTCACATTAACAAAGCCACTTCCATGCCCTCTAATCTCTCACATTAACATCATGCTAATCTCTCACATTAACAAAGCCACTTTCGTCCCCTCTAATTTCTCACGTTAACATCACGCTAATCCCTCACATTAACATAGCCACTTACATGCCCTCTAATTTCTCACGTTAACGTCATGCTAATCTCTCACATTAACATCATGCTAATCTCTCACATTAACAAAGCCACTTCCGTGCCCTCTAATCTCTCACATTAACATCATGCTAATCTCTCACATTAACATCATGCTAATCTCTCACATTAACATCATGCTAATCTCTCACATTAACAAAGCCACTTCCGTCCCCTCTAATTTCTCACGTTAACATCATGCTAATCTCTCACATTAACATCATGCTAATCTCTCACATTAACATAGCCACTTCCGTGCCCTCTAATCTCTCACATTAACATCACGCTAATCTCTCACATTAACATAGCCACTTCCATGCCATCTAATTTCTCACGTTAACATCATGCTAATCTCTCACATTAACATAGCCACTTCCATGCCATCTAATTTCTCACATTAACATCATGCTAATCTCTCACATTAACATAGCCACTTCCATGCCATCTAATTGTTCACATTAACATCATGCTAATCTCTCACATTAACAAAGCCACCTCCGTGCCCCCTAATTTCTCACATTAACATCATGCTAATCTCTCACATTAACATAGCCACTTCCATGCCATCTAATTTCTCACATTAACATCATGCTAATCTCTCACATTAACATAGCCACTTCCATGCCATCTAATTGTTCACATTAACATCATGCTAATCTCTCACATTAACAAAGCCACCTCCGTGCCCCCTAATTTCTCACATTAACATCATGCTAATCTCTCACATTAACAAAGCCACTTCTATGTCCTGTAATTTCTCACATTAAGATCATGGTAATCTCTCACATTAACAAAGCCACTTCTATGTCCTGTAATTTCTCCCATTAACATCATGCTAATCTCTCACATTAACAAAGCCACTTCTATGTCCTGTAATTTCTCACATTAAGATCATGCTAATCTCTCACATTAACAAAGCCACTTCTATGTCCTGTAATTTCTCACATTAACATCATGCTAATCTCTCACATTAACATAGCCACTGCCGTGCCCTCTAACCCCTCACATTAACATCATGCTAATCTCTCACATTAACATCATGCTAATCTCTCACATTAACAAAGCCACTTTCGTCCCCTCTAATTTCTCACGTTAACATCACGCTAATCCCTCACATTAACATAGCCACTTACATGCCCTCTAATTTCTCACGTTAACGTCATGCTAATCTCTCACATTAACATCATGCTAATCTCTCACATTAACAAAGCCACTTCCGTGCCCTCTAATCTCTCACATTAACATCATGCTAATCTCTCACATTGACATAGCCACTTCCGTGCCCCCTAATTTCTCACATTAACATCATGCTAATCTCTCACATTAACATAGCCACCTCCGTGCCCCCTAATTTCTCACATTAACATCATGCTAATCTCTCACATTAACATCATGCTAATCTCTCACATTAACATAGCCACTTCCGTGCCCTCTAATTTCTCACATTACCATCATGCTAATCTCTCACATTAACATCATGCTAATCCCTCACATTAACACGGCCACTTCCGTGCCCTCCTCCCAGTATTAGTATTATTACAAGCTTTTATTTAACTCACTCCGTCTGTTGTCGTATCCTCAAATCTTGTAACTCTATTTCAACCGTCTTCCCAATGTCGTATCGACTGTAAACTTGGTATAGCTATGCCATACTGATGACAATACTATAATCTATCATTAAACTTTTAAAATAGATTTTTAAACAATCTTTTTTACGGGTCTAATTGTCCACGGTCCCTTACATTATGGCAAGCTGCGGGGCCACTTAATGGAGTCGTGGAGTTCTGCCATTACGAGTACATTTCATTAAAGCGTGTTTTACAATTTTTTTTTTACCTATTTTATTTCTATGATGTCACCGGGTGTAAGGCCCCCACTGAGCGAAGTGGCTCTTATTCAGAAGCGTCAGAAATGACAGCTCAACTAGAAGTGGCGACTTACCACCACCATCATCATCTTTGCCACGTGCGATTTTTATATCGGTAGCAAAACACTCGAAACGCGTAGAAACGTCCGATTCTCAATGTGGACGGGGAAAACCGGAGGACCCGGAGGGAAAATCCACGCAACCACGGGGAGAGAGAGAGACACGCAGACTCCAAATTATACAGCAGGCGTCAGGGTCGGGATCAACCACACGACCTCCTGTATACCAGGCGAGGTAGTTAACATCTCCTAGTCACCGTGATGATGAGAGAGAGACATGCAAACTTCAAATATACAGCAGGCATCGTCAGGGTCGGGATCGACCCCACGACCTCTTGTACACCAGACGAGGTAGTCAACATCTCCTAACCACCGTGATGATGATGATGATGAGAGACACGCAAACTCCAGATCTCCTAGCCACTGTGATGATGATGAGAGAGAGAGACACACGCAAACTCCAAATATACAGCAGCAGGCGTCAGCGTCGGCATCGAACCCATGACCGCCTGTACACCAGGCGAGGTAGTCAACATCTCCTAGCCACCGTGGCGCCCCCCAAGTTGAAACCTTTCCTATTCTACCGAGCTCGGGGAGTGTCATTGGCGGGTGCTGTGAATTCCACATTACCATGACGAGAGCAAGTCTACTCGCAGCGCAGCCGCTGTTAATTTAAATACATTAACACTCCATCTCCCTGCATCTCTCTCTCTCTCTCCCAACACGAAGATAGGATTAAGATTGGCGCTGCTTAATCCTATTACGAAAAGAGGGATCTTAACACAGTGTCAACTAACCCCTTACACAAAGACAAAGATCCCCCGTGTAGCCTTTCAACAGACCGTTGGGGCAAGTGCTGTTCGCGAGCACCTATGAAGGCCGGCACGGCACACGAGGGGGTGGGTGACCAGCACCACGCCCGGCCGCCTTTGTCTCCCCAGTGGCGATGTTCACTACGCACCGCACCAGGTACTCATTTGAGGCTGAGTCGACCTAGTGGGGAGGCTCAGTATCGGTTCAGATAATCGTCGTGAGCGGGAATCGAACTCGGGTCGCCGGGTTCGTAGCGCAGCGTAGCGCTAACCGCTGCGCCACCACTCCCCACACACAGATAAAGATGCCCCTAGTCGCAATAACATCACCGCCGCGGTCACAGCGCGTGCCGTGTGTGCCGTGCCGGACCTCACGGAGGTGCCGCCTGCTCACAGGGACTTGCCTGCCGGAGTTGTGTGTGCCAGGCTACACGGGGGACCTTTGTCTTTGTCGTGTCCATGAAGAGCGGTGGCGCGGCGGTTAGCGCAGCTGCGTTACGAACCCGGCGACCCGAGTTCGATT